TATTTACCCTAGAAACACATTTTTGTTGTGGCATTTTTAAGTAAAATTGATTTATCCGTCAAACAATTAAAGCTTGTTTTTTGGGAAGGGACATTAATATTTTATTCGAGATAATAATAATACGATTAAATATATATATATTGTTATGCAAATATTTATTACATCAAGAAGTTTTAATTGATAAAAACAATGTTTATTCACTATGTTGAGCTGCAAAAACATCCAACAATANAAAACAATGTTTATTCACTATGTTGAGCTGCAAAAACATCCAACAATAAAGTTTTTATTTGTGTTTACATATCAGTATACTAAAAAACTATTATTTTTATATTCTTACAACAGTAAAACAGTTTTATAATTTCACATAATATAATCAAACATAATAAAGATATATAAACGCTTAAAGGTTTATTTTACATTATAAGTAATTTGTATACATGTCCGAATAAAGAAACTTGGCAAAGGTATTTTCCGGCATACAAACATAGTTGAATGTATTATGAAGGTATTGAGAATTTATACGATATTCGATATGAAATCTTGAATAAAAATACTTTAGTCATATAACATCCAAAAAATATGTGCGACACGTTTATCTTTAAAAATATCAAAACCTGTCAATAACACCGTTATTGTTATGCGTTTTGTTTAAATATTATTAATATATTAATACACACAATAAAAAATCGGATAATTTCAATAAACATCCCATTAAATATCTGCTTAATATATAGTGTTATTAAAATATCAGTATAAATAATATGTAGTTTTTTAATTTCAATGACAATTATATTAAAAGGAAGAGACTGCAAACACAAGTGCCTACATTCACATTTATAAATTTATAAAATTATTAACTTTAATTTTATTAAAAGCTTTTCGTTTTTCCTTTAATTTAAATATTTTAATTGCACTTAATAATATCTTTTTTTGTTTAATATTTGATTTCTTATGAGTTTAGAATGTATAAGTACATATTATTTATGACTAACACTAAATTTTTATAAAGAGAGAGGTGTTTAATTGGTATTTACTCCTCCCCATCTATACGACCAACTGCTTGACTAAAATATAAAAACAATAGAAAAAAAACATACCACGATAAAATGTAATCTTTAAACCATAATAATGAGGACAGCTGATGTGAGCGCAGTGGATGTGGGAGATCGTGTCAAGTGGAAGTTTAGGATAAGGGTAGCCGACACCAAGTAATTGGGATTAAGGCGAGGAATAAGAAGAAAGAAGAAGAATAATATGATAGAAAAAAATTACAAACTGTGTTGTTTATCTGATCAGCAGTTTATGTTATACACATTATTTAAAGATTTGGATGTCAAATAAAAATTCATCATTGATTTGGTTTTATGCTACCCAGTGGTAGTACCCAACCGGTACTATTGGTGCCACCATGACGGCAAAATTATGTAATGATATTCTATACATTTTTTATTATGGTAGTTATCAAGAAAAATTTTCTACACAAGTTATCTAAATGAGAGATACCGGTATTACAAATCTTTAAATAATGTCTAAAACACAAACGGTTGATCAGATATAGCGCCAGTACGTTACTAATATTTTAGTAACACTATATATTAAGCAGATATTTAGTGGGATGTTTATTGTAATTATCCAATTTTTTATTGTGTGTAATAATAAACGGTAAAAAATAAACGAATTGAACTAATTATTTATATTTCAGAAATGTCTTTGGGCGGGTCTGGTGAAAATTTCAAACCTTAAATCATAAAACGTTGGCGTCACCTATCATTTTTTTCTCAAAAACAGTCGAAATTTTAAAACGCTCGCTGTGCGATTTCAAATTTTCCGACCTTCAGCAATTATTTTACCGGAGTCTCGTGATCAAGTACTTTCGTTAAAAAAAAAAAATCTTGAAAATTGGAGCACGCTAAGTTATTTTCCCAGAAAAACATTTTTCCTTGTTTTATTATATAATATGATTACATTTGCTATTTTGATAACTTCAATAAATAATTCACTTGTCGATGAATTGTGTTTCAGCCTGCTGATGCGAAGGGACCGAAAAGTCGTTAGGTTAAAACCTTATGGAATGTGTCCACATTTTCAGTCCAGACCTCCAAATGACCACAGGCCATCACAACAAACTCCGAATCGTCCGAGGACAGACTTGAAACTTCTACTTCTCGTTGAAACTACTTACTCGAGACTCGGCAGAGAACTTGCAGAAACACTTGTTCACAATAGACTGAGGTAATCAATATGTATTATAAATTATTTATTAATCTTTTATATATGATTTTTATGCTGTTTATCTAATTTACTGGGTCGATTATTATTATAATATTTTGCTTTGCTTACTTTAATATCAATCATAAAAATTGTACGACCTATATATAAAATGCGAATGATAAATTCAAATTTTCATTTTGAATTCAATAATGGAATTAATTTGCAAAAAAACTAAATATATACTTAAAATAAATCAATTATATTGTATCCTCAAATTTAACGATTAATAAAGATATACTATCTTATTTATTTTTATTTATTAATAAAAATGTATTTAACTTTTAAATTGTAACTTTTATTATGAAACCATGATAGAGTCTATTATGTAGTGCGGTTTAGTTAGTACTCGATTAGTAAGTGGACCTCTATAAGCGGACAATACTTAAACCGTTGTATAATTGAGTGTAATATAAACTGTTGGTTAATAAAATAAATCTACTGTTCATTAATACCTTATTTCAATTGTAACTGATTTTAATTATTATAATTGTTGTCATTTAGTGTTTTTTTCTTATTATTATCTACTTACAGTAGTTTACACCTCAATACGTTACCTTGTCCTGTTTTAGACGTGTCACAACACTTTACATTTGATGTATGATATTAAAATACTTTATTTTATAAGGGTTTTAAAAGTTTTATAGTATCTAATAATTTAGTGTTTACACTTATTGATTTTAAATCTGTTATTTGTTAACTTTGCCAGTAAAATTTTTTAAAAGATTCTTTTTTTTTATTGCAAAGTTATAATGAATCACAAAAATATTAAAACTATGTTATTTTATTGATGTAAGTTTGATCTAAACAATTTCTCATCTAACAAATTAACATAAACAAGAAGAAATTATAAAATCTGCTTTATAATATAATATAGAAGTCATTAAGTTTTTTTAATTTCAGAGATATTTCAAACTTTTAATTATTAACTATGGAAATTTCTTAATCTTGCTATCTTGAAATTTATTCTAAAGTTATTTTTCATCATTTGTGAAAACTGTCTTTATAATTATTTTCAGTTTAAAAATATCTACAGAAATAAAACTTGCTTTATTCGATTCTCACTTGGTCTCGTATATTTTAATTAGAAATTATTTTCATAATTAACAATAGTTTCTTGTATTATTTCTAAAATGCTAAATTGAAACTTCATTATTAAAAAGTTATTACATGATTATAGGGACCATTTAAATAAATATACAAAAAGTATTCATTAATTCGTGTTACACAATGTTCTATTTGTGTAGTTAATTTTGAAAATGGTCGAACGATACTTTTTTGCTCTTATTTAGTAATGTATGGATGTGTTGGGTGTTTCTCGTATTCGTTATATTTATTAAATGATTAATTTATTAAAAATGTGTAAGAAAAAAACTCATTTGGAAACTTTAGGTATAATATTTATATAAGGGTATAAGTAATGAGTTCACTGTGGCAATAAGTCGGCTAATAATTTTCGAAACATCAATCAAAATGTCCCTACCATCGTTTTTGCAAGAAAAGGGAGGGGGTGTGCTTGAATGCGGTCACGCCTGCGAACAACTTTTGCTGGATGAATTAAATTTTGTTATGAAACTGTCAAAGTTTCAACCCTTTTATGTTTTGTTTATAATATGTATGTGCGGTTTTGGAAGAGTTACTACCGGAGCCGTCCATTATCATTTGCCGAACAACCTGAGCAGTACTTTCGTTGTAGTGGTTATTATGTGTGTTTCATCAAATCTAATCTAAACAGTAACATTAGAAACCTTTTCAGAATTCAAATTTTTTGTAATTTATACTTGAAAGCGGTAAGCGCTCGACTGTGTGAATTTAGATTTGTACGATTCGTTTGTACCGCGTTTCCTATCTCAATTTCCATTCCCTTGACTATTTTTAGATTTTACATTTAAAAAAATATCAATTTCATTTTATTTTTATTTTACATGCATAATTTTATTAATTTGCGATTTGTAAAATTCGACAGTGAAACATTCCCTTCCAGCGTTCTACCTTATGTCGATAACATATCGCAAAAGATTTATTTTTATTGCGTTATATTACAAATCTAATAATTCGACAATAAATACCGCGAGAAAGATATTCTGAAATGTTATTGAAGAGCGACCCGTGACGTGTATTATAGATTTATAGTTTCGTTTTCGATATTTTATTTTTTAGATCGCATTAAATTTAAATAAATAACAGATGGAAAAAATGTCAATGGAAATATATTTTATGCTTGCTCTTATTTGATTAGTTTTTTTTTTTTTGAGGGGATAATGTACAATAAATCCTTTCGATAAATTTACATTGCTGATTTATTCGAGTCGCGCACTACGAGGATTATTATGCGTTTTTGATCAATCGGAAAGGCCAAAAGTTTGTTTACCACTAGTCCAAAAAAAAATCCGATTTGCCTTTCGGTATTTGAAATAATTTTCTGAAAAATAAATCTATCAAAAAATATTTAGAAGCGCGTCCTTGCCTTATGACTCGTGTCGTCGGAGTCGGGTCAGTGTTTTATTTCAGTCATAGAAAATACCCCCTGCAAATAACGTTCTCTATAAAAGCCTGTTGGCCGTAAAACGCTCAACATAATGTAGTTTGAATATGGTTTACATAGATTTCATATGAACCGTTTCACCGAACAGGATTTTTCACTTGTTTTCTACTGGCTACGTATATTTAATAATATATACTGTTGAAAAATTAATAATATAATATTTTGGTAAGTTGTTTTAACTCGCCAGTATGACACGAGTTTTTGAAAATATATTTTTTATTTGATTCTTGTTTGCATTTTTCTTAATAACTTTGTCAATTACCAAAATTGTTCCTATTAAATGTAGAAACGTTTTTCTTTAAACGATATTTACAATTCTCGCCTTGTATTCTGTTAAGTACCAACTTTCTGACATAAAATGCATCTATATAAAAGCTGGGCATGGACAAGACCATCATGTACTTATTGACTTGACTTAAGTACTACAATTTTATTGCACGATTTCCACGAGAATACGTAATATAAATTTAATCTGTTCATCTGTAAAAATAGAATCTGTTTATGTACTCTGTTGTATGAGGTACAATGTTATCAAATGAATAATACCTAAGAAATATTTCTTTACGTTTTTATTTTTACAACAAAGGTTACTACTTCTGCCCACATCAAGTTACTTGAAAATTTTATTGAAAGATGTTTTGTGTAAATATACACCTACTAACGTTTATATATTGCCGAATTGGCATATTTTTTATTTGTTTTTCGAAAAGCATTTTTATTAACGACATTGTTTAGATTTTTTACGACAAACGTACTACTAAATTTTAAAATAGAATTGTTTTTATGTTAACACAAACTCTAAAGGTGACAACGAATCTTGAAGTTTACTCTCACTCTTCTGCATTTTATTAACGGGTAATGTTAATTCTCCCGTAACTATTCAATAAATTTTTTTTTTTATTTATCTCATGGTATGAGAAATTGCTTGTGTCACCTTAAACTTATATTATCTTTGTTGATTATATAAAATTATGACTTCAGATATGAAGAACAAATTATTATTTATAAATTGTCATCATTTATCTAAAATATAATTGGTTCCGAGTATGTGTCATTAAAAAAGTAAAACTATTAAAGAACTCGTAAGACACACATTAACTATTTTTAAACGTTTGTGTATTTTTTTAATTAACTACATCCGGTTACTAATTATTTAAATGAAAAATTCTTGGAATTGTTCATGCATAAAACGCACTTGTTCAGGGCTTAGTTGTAATTTAAGTGTCGGCCTAATGTTTATTGTGAATGGATAAAATCAGCGACCACATTGTTTTTTAAACTAGTTTTTTTTATTATTTTTCTAAAGCAAAATATGGACGTAAAAACAAATTAACAGCAAAAAATCGTAAAATTCTAGTTTGTAAACCTCGAAATAATACTTTGCAAATTTCGGTGAAAATGATTTTCAATATTTTGGTTAAAAATTAAAAAATACTTTTTGATATAATACAGTAATAAAATGTACTAAACGTTAATATAAAATAACTGATAGCTAATCTATTGTTTTATATGACCATTTACGTGATGCGTGACATTGTACTTGTGACTTAAGTAGCATTTATATTTTCGAAAAGAATAATTTTATAAAAATTTAACCATTGTTAATCATGAACATAATAGCAGTGACAATTTATTTGTAATTAAACGAGCTAAATATTTGCAATGCACTTAGATTTTTGATACCATTTGCTTATAAGGTAAATCGTACCAATCCGGTTTATCTGTAGCTAAAAATGTGCCATTTTTATTTTTATTTGTAGTTACTCGTGTCTTCGAGAAACTATAAAACTGCCGAAACGTGCGTACTGGTCGTCGTCCCTTTGTGTGGTTGTTATGGATTTGCTCTTTTTTACTTAACAAAACTACTAATAAACCTTAAATACCAGTAGGTATTCCAAGAAACTTCCGAAAAAAATCTGTTTAACTATTATGTATACTGCCATAAGCATTTATTTTTGTGTTACGATTTTTAATAAACCCGTTTACTAAACGGAATTCGATAGTTATGTTCTTTCTGTATGACAGTGTGTTTTATTATTTCAATTTTATATTTTATATTTTTATTGCCAACATAAGCAAATCTTTAACCGTAGGGGTTTCATTCATTTATTTTATAACAGTTTTTGTTTTAATTTGTTTAAATCTTAAGCAACTTTATTGATTTCAAGTCGACTGGAAATATAATACGTACATTAATCGACAGACAAATTAAAAAATAATTTACTAACAATTTTAAGAAACCGAAATTGTTTTGTGACTTGCTAAAACAAATTTTTCGTGTATTTTTCAGTAAGAATTAAAAGTGCGTTTGTACAATAGGTACGTGTATTTTATGGTAGTTATTAATTTTAAAAGGTATTTTATGTATAAAATAAACACATTTTATGAATAGCTTTAGAAATTTTGTGTTCGAAAAATAATGACTCTCAATGATTTTACGCTGGACAGATGAGTTAAATTTTTAGTAATGATTTGTGAAATTGAATTGCACTTTATGTTCTTTTAGTTTTTGTATTATTCTGATATAGATAATAGGAGTAAACGTGCTATATTCGAGAGTGGTAAGAAGTTAGGTTATGAATTTAACACATTTCCTAATGTTAAATTATCTTTCATTTCAAGAACGTGAGATTTTTCTGAAGCTGAGTGATTTAGAAAAACGTGACGGCTCGCGAAATAGCCGTTTTAATCATTTGTCTATTTAATACCTTTAAACTGGACAAAAATCTTCCTACCTACTCTGGAAACTCGTGATTTTTATGAGAACCGCATGTCTTTAGATGTATTTAAAAGGGTTTCATATCTAGTGATAACATATGATAATAATTTTTTGTTATTCAATTGTTGTTGTTTATATAATTAAGTATTTTTAATCAATATTTTTGAATATGAAATAATGTTATTCGTATCGCCAATAATTTTCAATATCTTGTTTTTTATTTAGAAAAAATAGTATAACAACGTATTTAAATTTACAAATTAAACTAGATTCAGTTGATGAGAATGATATAAATGGTTAATATCAGCCAAATATGATGAATTAAAATATTGCATCTCGGAAGTGTTAAATAGTGGCTTCTATTTAAAAATCATTTGTTATAATGTATATGTTGTATGTTTTGTAGAAAATCAATAATAAAATATATCGTCTATTGGTATTAATTTTAATTGTTATTAATAATAACAGTTTTATTTAGTTATAAATTCGCAATTTATAAAGTACTTGATCAGAGACTGCTCATTTATTCATAAAAAGTGGTTTAAAGATATAATTTAGTTTTCAGTGTAAAAAATGTTAGGAACATCCTATTATAAAATCTGCTCCAACATGCAAATGACATATCATATATTTTTCCTGGTATCTCTCCAGTAATTACTACCTCATTAAAAAATAAAAATAAAATATAGACAACAAAGTGCATCTTGTAACTTGTATTATTCGTGGACTGTTTTGGATTTTTTATCTTATAAAAGCCTCATAGATTCTCTGTTATTTAATTATACACTGAAAAAAAATGTCTCGATCATGATTAACAAAAGTGTAAAGTTTTATGACTAATTATAGTTTATGGATATTATTCATAGATAATGATAAACAGTAAAAACAACATTTATTCTGTTCAAGTAACCAATTTGCTAAGAAATAAAAAAAATTGTTGTAAAATTTTATTCATCTCTAAAGGTTTTTAAGTCATCAATTTCCGAGCTCTAATCATTTTATATTATTATTTACGTTGTTTCAATATACACGAGCATGTGTGATTTTGTCGTAGTTTAATGTACAATTTTATTTTGTTACACCTTTTAATTTATATGTCAAAATAAAGTAATAATTGATATTCTAAGAAATTTAGAGTATTACTTACCTACTTAGAACATTTGATTAAATTACCGATTGCTTAACTTAATATTCCAATCATCTAAATATAAGGTAAATTCTTTTCTAAAATTATAATTATTCAATTTAATTTTTTGTTTTGCAGGTATAAAATGGAAATAGCCGGAAAGTCGTTACCGGCTCTTACTTACTTAGATAAAGGTCGTTATTCCGTTATCGTTTTTGAAAACTACTATAAGTACTTAAATATGGACAAATGGAATAGAGAGCTATTAGATAAATACTGCAGGGAATACGGGGTTGGTATAATAGGGTTTTTCCCGCCGACAGAACGTCGAGCGGTCGGCGTACAAGTTAGAGGGTTTCCATTATACACGCACACGAAACTCTCACTGAGAGTGAGTATATTGTTACTAGTATATTATCTTTGTTTACTTTTCAAAAAATCTCACCAACTCCAACGATTTTAATGAACTTTAAATATAGGACGCCATGTTGAATTCAGCGTCGCCAGTACTAAGAATTTCCAGAGCAGGTGGTGTATATCAAGGGCCTTTACCCGGCGATGATTGGACCGTTTTTGGTGCCAACGATACAACTTACGAACCTGTTGCATGGGGTAGCAATGACTCGTTCAGTTCGCAGAGCGAATACATTCCTCTGGCTACTGTCATACAAGACCACGGTATGTACGACGGAATATCCAGGGTATTATTTGGTTCAGGATTGAGGTTCTGGCTGCATCGGTTGCTTTTGTTAGATTCGTTATCGTACTTAAGCAAGGGACTGTTGAGCATATCGCTTGAGCGCCAAGTACTGGTCGATATTGATGATATATTTGTCGGCGAAACTGGTATTAGAATGTGGAAAGAAGATGTGCACGTGAGTGTGTTTAAGTTCAATAAAGATTGTAATACAATAATATAACTGTCCATAGGCAATTATGTTATTGATACAAAATCTATATCAATTTAAATGTTTTTGCGTAGGATTTAATCCAGACACAAGAGCGAATAAGTAAATTAGTACCAGGGTTTAAATTTAATTTAGGATTTTCTGGCAAATACTTTCATAAAGGAACGTGGGAAGAAAACGAAGGCGACGACACGATTTTGGGTAAATTAAAAAAAATATTTAACTAAATAATGTATTGGAACTTAGGGAGCCATAGGCGAACGAAGATTTTTTTGTTTGGGTGTGTTACTAAAGTAAAAGGAGCCCTTAAGATGGTGTCGTATTGTCTTTTCTTATTATTATAGGTCTTGAGTGGATAACTAATTGTTATTCTATGCGTATAATAAATTATACGCATAGTTTTATAAAAATATTTTAGGAAAGACGACAATTAAACAAAGTACTTGATAATTTTCTTGGAAAAAATTCAATAGTGATGGTTAGTATGGGTTTAAAATATCATATATAAGAATATGGATCCTTTATTTTTTTTTTAATTACATGGGCCGACGTTTGATATAATAAAATAAAAAAATATAAAATTTTAACCAACTTCAAAAAGCTGTAGAAACGTAACATCTGAATTTAAAAAAAGTATATGATATCAACATTTTTCTCTAAATTTAATCTTTAAGCTCTCTGACTTGAAAATTCTAAAAAATTGCTAAATAAAAATTTAATGAGTATATATTTACATTATTTTACATGATTGAAAAAAATGTTTAATGATAATTTTAAAATATAGTTCAAGTTTATAAAAATTGCATACTATTAAGTACATTATAAGTTATTAAAATTGTTCCACTCTGTTTATAAATAAATATTTTTTCGAAATTTATGCATTAATTTATGTTTATGTTTATTCATTAGAACATGTTGACAAGTTCAATTGGTTCTGCCATATGTGGAATCACATGCAACCACATTTATACAATAATGAGACTCAATTAGAATATGAAATGACATTAAATAAACTGTTTGCTGAAGTAAGACAATATTATTATTATTTTATTTATTTTCATAAGATAAAATAATTTAAATCTTCTTCTTTTTCCTCGCCTGAATCCCAACTACTTGGGGTCGGCCACCCTTATCCTATACTTTCACTTGACACAATCTCCCACATCCTCTACGCTCACATCAGATGTCCTCATATCGCATTCAATAACATCTCTCCATCTCTTTTTTTGATCTTCCTCTACCTCTTCTTCCTTCTACATTCAATTCTATAACTGTTCTTGTAGCTTCCGATTCCTCTTTCCTCATGATATGACCAAACCATCTAAATCTGTTTTCTCTCATCTTATATACGATTGACGTTTTACCTTTACTCCCTCT